TGCATGGTGAACAATGTTAAGACATACGGAGATGGACAATCAAGATTAATCCAATAATTATTAACTTCAAGAGTTATGTATAGTTTATAGAACTTTGTAATTTTTTTACAATGAATTTTTTTACACTCTTATAATGTCCTTTTTGTACTTTTCGTTTATGTTTACAAAGAGCAATTTATAAAATATGCTACAATAAGTAGCTATAGTATTATATTATAGATACAAACAGAAAGACAGAGTTGTGCGCATTACCTCAAAAAAGTAACGCGTTACGTTACCGTTACTTTTTGAAAAAAGTAACTCGTTACCGTTACTCGTTACCAATTTCGAAAAGTAAAGCGTTAGCGTTACTTATTATAAAATGTAACGATTCGTTACTTTTTTTTGATAATGCTAAAAATTATTAGAAAATATTTTTAAAAGAAATTAAGAATAGATTATAAAATGAAACAGTAAATATTTTATAATTGCATTTATTGCACATAATTTGGTTATGTTAAGAGTACAAAGTACAAAATCTTGAAATTTGACATAGACAAAGTACAAAATATTGAAATTTGGCATAAACAAATTTGAAATAAAAAATTCTTAAAATTTAACGCTTCGATATGGAAAAGAAAGTTATTCGTTTCATATTAAAAAAAAAACTAAAGAGTACACAACTCCATGCACATTTTATACTTAAAAAGAAAAATATATCTCTTTCGCGATCGTTCGGATATCGTGTTTCATTTCTACATTTTCATGACAATTTTTTCATGACAATGTTTTCATAAAAAAAAACTATATTAAAAATCAAGAAATAAAATGATTCCCGAAAGCGATAATCTTTTTTTAAAAGTTTAACAATTTTTCAGCAAATAATAAAAGAGGATACCTTTATATTCTCCTTCACTATGTGCTGAAAATGAATGAAAAATCTAATCCAATTTTGAAAAGATATATTATGCTACAATAGCAATATTGCGTATATGTATATAAAAAATAAAAATTCTGAGTTTTTAATATTTATTGCGTAAAACAATATCACATTATTATCATGGCGTAAAGATACATTTTACAATTCTCTTCGATGCTTCTAAATTCTCTAACCTAGTGCTTCACTTTTTGAAATATACCATAAGTTTCCAGAATGCACGTGATCAGCGCGCGCTAATTGGCGCGCAATCAGTGCATGATCTATTGAATAGGAAATTAAAAATAGGAAATTAAAGTAACAGTAAAAGTAACGACTAAATTCGTTACCGTGACTGTAAAAATGTAACGACGTTACCGTTACCGTTACAGATAGAAAAAAGTAACGATCGTTACTGAAAAAAGTAACGAAAACGGTAACGCCGTTACAAGTAACGCATTACTTCCCAACCCTGTAGAAAGATTATTCCGGCAGAATGAAGAAATGTGCAAAAATATAATTTTCTATAGTAACTTTGTTTTTATTTATTAATAATAATAAAAGTTATATAAGACTCTATATAAGTATAAAACGAATATATAGAAGAAGAGCAAAGAGCCAGTAAAACAATTAAGAAATTTAAATTTAAATGATAACAATCATGTAACAAGGAATTTAATCTAAATAATTATACAACAAAGAAGTTTAACATAAATAATACAACATATGTTCAACTCCAATCTGGTTATTTTCAATGTTACCGATAAATATAATAAAGAATTCGTTATGTAATGATGAATATAATATAAAATCGTTAAACAAGTTATCGCATTAGTAAAATACAAATTCATTATATTTCAACAGAAAAAATGATTAAAACACATATAAATATGATATCGACGGTCCAATATAAATCGTAATTTTAGAAAAAATGATTATTTCGCCTTCTTCATTTTATATGTAGAATTGTGAGTCAAAACGGTAATCAGGTTAATAAATCTAGACAAAGGTTGTAAACCAAAATTACTATTGAGTATAGAGATTATAAAAACAAAGGTAAAATTAAAGTACTTATGATTACAACGCATCATTTTGCCCACGTATATAAAAATAATAAAAGTTATAAGGCTCTATAAGTATAAAACAAAGTATATGGAAGTTTATTAACCTGATTACCGCGTTTTGACTCAATTCTACATAAAATGAAGAACGCAAAATAATCATTTTTTTCTGTTGAAACACAATAAATTTGTATTTCATTAATGCGATAACTTGTTTAATGATTTTATATTATTATATTCATTACATAACAAATTCTTTATTATACAATATTCAAATCTAAAAACCGTCAAATGTACCAAAACATAACTAATACGAAGCCTATAACAGTCTAGCTTGGATCTTTAAATGCTTATATATAATTTTGCGTGAATTTATACACTAATATATATGTGTCCCTTCAACCTGCGCGCCGAACGATTATCAGTCTTAAAACGTAACTCTGATAAACTACTGCGGTACTATCACGAATTAAATTAATTATAACAATTTAATAAATTAATAAATGCTCTTTTTTAGCATCTTATATTGATGTTAAACTTTATTAAAATCTGAAAATAATTCTTATTGCGAAAAATATTACCTCGGTCAGGAGTCGAACAACCCGGATACCTTGCTTTAAGCGCAAGTGTCCTAGCCAATTAGACATTCTATTCTTTATTATATTTACCGTACATTGAGAATGACCCGATTGGAGTCGAGCATATGTTGTATTATTTAGATTAAACTACTTGTACATGATTGTTATTTAAATTTAAGTTTCTTAATTGTTTTACTGGCTCTTTGCCCTTCTTCTATATATTTTGTTTTATTAATATTTAATAATCATTAGATATATTTAATCGATGTAACTGTCTCTTTTACAGTATCAATTATTTAATCGTATTGTTTTCAGATTCATATTCTTGTATACGAAGCTATACAAATCGACATATGGAAGCACAAGGTATTTCCACTTTTGATCGATTTTAATGGGGAGCCAACAAACACATTCATGCTGTTCAGCATATTCTATCATGAAGTTATCGCGGTTTCATTATTGGAAAATATATTGTTTCATTGCGAAAGCGCGCAAACATTGGATGACACAGTAATTGACCTCATCGATTATACCGTTCAACACGTGACAATGCTTCTCGATGGAAAAACTTTACAAATATATGAAATCGGAGATGCTAAGTATATATATATATATAAGATACTTTATATTTTAATTAAATATATATAACAAAATATAAAATAAACTCAGCAGAGAATATATATTGTATTATTTACACAAAGTAATATAAATTTTCGTGAATATCGAATTTGTTAATCGTACATTTTTTGCTTTAGATCTTGCTTGGAAGAAATAGTAGAGAAGCAAAAGGCATTCGAGTTTGATATTGGGATGCGATGTATCTCGATTCTTCATTATCTAATAGAAATTTTGGATAATCTTCCTCTTTGCGCAATTTCGCGCATGCTAGCTATACACGACCTTCCGTATTTATTTGCGCAGCTAATAGAAAGTCAACCATGGATAAAGCAAAATGAGGATGGTAATCTATTTTCATCTGTGAATATCTATTTTCCATTTCTAGCATCTTAATGGAATATGATAAACAGTTGAACTATCGTTAATCTTCATGTAGATGAGGTGTTGATGTATGAAGCTAGCTGGAGGAAAATTAAACCGAGTGAGATTGGGAAAATTAATAAAAGAGAGGGACAAGTATGGTTTGGTTTGCGAGAATTACTTCTAAATCCAAAATGTTCTCCATACTATGAAATTACAGAGCACAGACTATCCCAGCTATCGAAAGTACTAATTCTTAAGTGAAAATGGACCGAGAAATTAAACGCAAATGAATGAAGAGGGTCATATTCGATCAAGGAGAATCTTAGTGTAAAATATTTTGTGTGAATTTTTACAATTTTTTGTTTAACACTGCGTATCAATTATTTGTCTTGAAATAGTCTTAGACTCCAGGTTCAGTCCAAGACTGTGTTACAAAACTGACAAATAATCGGTAAGCAGCATTTGTTTTAACTGAAAATTGTAAGAATTTATACAAATGTTACTGGGTTCTAAGAGACTCATCTTGACTGAATATAATCCTCTTTATTCATGTGTATACTAATTATTAATCAATCAAAAATGTACGATTTTTAATAGAACTTTATACTTCAGCTACAGAAACATTTGCACGAAGATATACTCGATCAAATTGCGCCTTTAATAGAGCTTAAGAGATGGTTAGCTTATTTAAACATATCGCCGATGATGCCATCTTCGAACTCAACCTGCCCAGTTCTTGTGGAAGTTATACCGCAGGTAAGCATATCACTATCGCTATTCTTCACTCCTCATTCTTTTATTGATCACCAATTGTTACAAAATTAAACATTAAATATAGATAAAGTCAACTATTCTGGAAAAATATCATAAAAAATGGAAGAAACTGGCTAGACATCAGTCCAAGTACTTATTTACAACAGATACGAGTTACATTAAAGAAGCCGCACAAATTTTAAGCGATGTCTATGATTTGGAGAAGTTAGACTATATAGAAACGAAAAAATGTTCATTATGTCAAGAACCATCCAAAAAACGATGTTCCAGATGTAAGGAAGTTTGGTATTGCAGCAGGTATACAAGGAATAATAATCAGATTTTACTAATAAATGCTAAATGTATTCATCTGCAAAAGTAATGCAGAGTTGATATTCCTTTCTTATAGAAAGTGTCAAGTAAAAGACTGGGAAAATCACAAGAATATTTGCAACACGATAACAAAAACTAAACAGTGATAATACACTTCTTAATAATTAAGAATATGTATTCATCAATACATTAAAAAATATATTAAATATATACATATATCTTCTTTTTAATTATGATGAAATATTATAGTTGTGGATGCAAAATTGCAACGTTATTTTCAGTGAGGTCATTTTCACAATTCTTGTGCATTTTGCAATTTATTGGAAAGAGTAGTTGTAATCTTTGTATCCATAATTACATATTTTAATGAAAATTTAAGAAATGTTTGGAATACAGACATATTTGTGTAATTTATGTCAAATATTTTATTAAAAGGTATTAATGTACAGCACTTTGTTTAAGATATTCCATTAGAACATCCTTAGCAGGCGTATCTTCACCAAAATCCTATAAATAATAAATGCTTACTCAATAATGGAATATTAATAATAAAGAAGAAAACATTGATAAAATAACATCAGCAAGGCATAATTACAGCATGGTCTGTTTATTATATGGGTTCTACTCAGTAGAGGGAGCCCAAATATCATCATGTAAGGTTTTACAATTGTCTTTAATATACTGTTATTTAATTAATAGTTGCTTTCCATTTACACCGATTCTCAGATAATTCTCACTTATGACGTTATAACTCAGTAGAATACGCGTTCCTTTTGCATTCTGAGAAGTGAGATTCAACTGAGTGTTTACCTACAAACTGCACAAGATTGAGACCGTGTGGTTTATTGATCTCGCAGACTCACTTTAAAAGTGAGGTTATAAACCTGTATTATTTGTTAATTTTACCAAAGTAAGCAAGTAGTGACGTCATTAATCTGAGTATTTCATACTCAGCTCACTTTAAACTCTGTTTCATTTGTATGTAAATGGAAAGCAACGATTATCATATATGTTATTAGAAAGAGAGCGAAAGTTTTAATACAGCTTACCTTTATGACGACGCATGAGCAGCCAACCACTTTACGTGCTTTGCCTGCACTGTCAATTTTACACAAGCCAGCCCATTCACCTAATTTTTTGTTATTATCCACCTTTATCAGTGGAATTTGATGTTCGTTACATAATGCTTGAACCAATTTCTTGTACATTGGTTCATCACAATTCTCTGCCAAAATGCAGAGCATGGCTTGTCTTCTGCAATATAAGACACATCAATAAAAAAAAATTGTATACTTATTTATAGTATAAGATCACAGATATTAAAATATAGCAATTTAATTTCAAAAGAAAGAGCTTCTGTATTTCCTTACACATCTGTTTGCTTATATTATAATTATTATTACATATATCTTTTTGTGACTGAATGTACACTTGCATTTAAAATAAAATAGAATATCTCAATAAATCTATATATTTGAAGTTTGTCCATCTTGTTTTTTCACAATGGAGGAAAAAAAGAAAAAAATAAACAGTACAAAAAATTTAGCTAAAAAGAATAAGCCTCTTATGATAGACTTTTACATTTCTGTATCTTACTTATCTAAAGCTTTGGCAGCTTCATGAAGTCCATGAACAACGCCATCGTGAATGAGAGAATTCTTTAAAACTTCTTGTAGCGCAGTGTTAACATCCATACTACCACCCGCTGCCATCGCGGATGGTACATCATCACTATAAAGAAACAATTTTATTGAATACAGTTTTCCAGAATATTATTTAAAGCTCGCCTTATCAATACGTGTCATTTTATTAATTCCATTCATTAGCTGTTATAACCATGTGTATTTTACAACTGTAGATTCCAGGACTGATCTTTCAATGATAAAAGTTTAACCAATCACATAATAATGAGTAGATTTATTATGAGTCAAATTTTTTATTTCTAGTCATTAAGTCCTTCTTGTAAGTTCGTATAGATCTGTATATTCATGATTTCGCCAATTTATTAAGACTAGTTGCATGACAAAAAGGTGCGGAAATATGAAGTATACTCACTTTTCTACGTCAGACATGATTGAGCGAGCTGGAGAGCTGGAAATAAATACGAGACGTTATTATTCTCTCTATAGGAAATACATTTCAATGCTTTTGCAGGCAAGATACGTGATGATTTTAGCGTAATAAACGGATTTTAACCACACCAATACCCAATGTGACCTCGTTTACCTTTCTTGCAGGCCGAAAAGAATGCCGCGTTCTAGGCTTTTACGCATGCGTTATTTTGATCAGCAGCGACGCCACGCTTGTTTTCGACCAGCATGTTTAAGCATGTTGATGGCGGAGCAACATCTACAGCATCCTGTCCGAAACAGTAGAGTTATCGACGATCGATCATAATTACTGCAATGTGAGTTGTGCCCTCTTGCCGACAAACCTTAGGTTTTAAGGTTAGGATCAAATATTCGCGCCAAATGTTGCAAATTTGTATCAATCTACAGTTGCACAAATACAACGAGTGTTTTAGACGATAATGGATAATAAGCCGATTCGCGTCATTCGTGTCCTCGATGTGATCGTATTTGGCCTTCATCGGAATCTGGAGTATCGTGAGCGTAGGTGGTATTTAACTTAAAAATAATCTCCCCCCTAATGCAATATAACAAGATTTAGGACTTATAATATTTACCGCTTTACGATAGGTTTTCAGTCTTTCAACGTTTACGTAATCACAAATAATTATTTGTAATATGGATATTATAAAAAAGTCGAATTGATTCTAGTTACACAATTATTGATACAATATTAATCAAATATTGGCCCAATATATCCTTCATGTTTAACCAATGTATCGGTAATAAATTGGTATTGTTACTAAGGGAGATTTGCGCTGGCTGATGTTTGTTAAGCAATCAAGCAACTAGTAATATTTTATTTTTTAAAAACGATAAAATTAAGATATTGAATTTCGGTATTATAAACAAGCAAACGATGTAAACAGTTGACAAACTTTATTATAATAATTTCACAATTTAAAATTTAAAGCGAAACGTTTCGACTCTTATTGTAGTCCTCTTCAGTCTCAATAATATATACAAACATTAATATAAATATAACAATTTAAAACAATAATTATAAGATATAAAGTAAATTAGTCAAATGTTCTCTCTTAGTCAAATTGTGAATTGAAGAAAAGAAAACCATCTCATAAAGTTGTATCCGCATCATATGATTCTATATATGGAACCATTAATCAAATATTAGGCAATTAAAACCGAAATTGAAGATAAAACACAAAATCAGATCCGCCATTAATTTTTAACACAATACAAAGAAGAATTAATGTTATTTTGGAATCTAAAATACATGCAACACATAATGATCACCATATAGTACCTGTATTGATCTTCCTAAAAAAAAACTTTTTGTCTTACCCTACATTCCAAATATTACAAATAAAGTTACTTCTAATTTAAATAAAGAAGTATTTATCATAGGAATTAGGAGTATCAATAAACTTAACAAAATTATTAAAGTTCACAAGGACAATACAGATACTATACAAAAGAATAATGTGGTTTATAAAATCAATTGTAGCAACTGTAATTCGTCTTATGTAGGCCAAACAAAGAGAAAGTTGATCACAAGAATAGGGGAACATAAGCGCAATATGGGAGGAGATCCTTCAAAATTTTCTGTAATATCTGAACATTGCAACCAACATAATCATTCTTTTGATTGGAATAACGTTCAGATTATGGATGTAGCGTCTCATTACACAAGAAGCTTATTTCAGAAACGCTTTGTATTAAAGAATAAGAGAATAGTATTAATGCTCAAAAAGACACTGAAAAATTAGATAAAACATATGATATTTTGTTTTGATTATGTACCTCGTAATGATAAACAGTGTTTGACATTTCTATAGCCAAATCATAATTTCCCTTATTCTTTTGACAACTGCTTCTTATACACATCACATCTGCGTTACAATACAATAAATTTGAATTTGAAGACAGAGAATTATTTTTGGAGCATCTGAAATTAACGTAAGTTCTGATATACATTCGGATCTGATTTTGTGTTTTATCTTCAATTTCGGTTTTAATTGCCTAATATTTGATTAATGGTTCCATAGAATCATGATGCAGATGCAGCTTTATGAGATGGTTTTCTTTCCTTCAATTTACAATTTAACTAAGAGAGAACATTTGACTAATTGACTTTATATCTTATAATTATTGTTTTAAATTGTTATATTTATATTAATGTTTGTATATATTATTTTGAGACTGAAGAGGACTATAGTAAGAGAGAGAGAGAGAGAGAGTCGAAACGTTTCGCTTTAAATTTTAAATTGTGAAATTATTATAATAAAGTTTATCAATTGTTTACATCGTTTGCTTGTTTATAATACCGAAATTCGATATCTTAATTTGGTCGTTTTTAAAAAATAACAAGCGTTATCTTAGTACTTATATTTTATTTTTTATTGACTTACATAATAGATAAATTTTCCTTTTTATTTTCCTATATTATATTTTATTAGATAGAAAGTCATGTTTACAAAATATACATTTTCTATATAAGTATATACGATTCTATTATATAAAAGTATTTAGTATAACTAGTTAGTATAGAATTTATTATTGTACAAGTAATAGATTTTATAATAGTCGCGGATAATAAGAAGGAAATAAAAACTGTTATATATTGCTTTGAATTTAGTACTAAATGATATATTTACAAGATTCTAGGTATATTATGGAGCACAATTGTGAAAAAGTAATGAACGAAATCCAATGATTGCAACATTTTAAATGTCTAAATTAATCTAAAATATTTCATGTTTGTTTAATGTATATTGTTAATTTTCATTGTTATTAATTATTATTATGTATATACAGATTGTTCCTATATTTGTTAATTAAAAGCTAAAACTAAGCTAACTTTATGTTTTAGTGTAATGCTGCTGGATATTTAAAAAAATGTGATAATGTATCTAAGATAAGAATAAAAAAGGAATTCGAAAAGAGTGAGAGCTGTTGTTTACTCAAATTGATCAAAGTTAATTTATCACTAAATAGTATGGTTGAGTAAGCTTTCAGATTTAGAGCTAGTTCTTCTTCCATTAAGCCCCAGTAAGCACCAACTAAAAGTAACATAAACACCAAAATTATAATTCCATTATATAACCCATAATTTCACAATACTCAACAACGTAACTATTATATAAAGTTTGTATCAGAGTAGAATTTGAAATTGATATTGGATTGGAATTTGATAAATCAAAATAAAATTCATTAATCTTGATACTGATTTTTTTTTTATTGGAAATCTAATTCAATTTTAGTTTTTAAATTTTACTGATATGGGTTTTATGTATGTTATTTAATTTATATTGCTTGGTATGAAATTATTATATTTATATTACATTCAGTCGATGTTTATTGGGAGGGAGTTTGAGAAGAAGAAGACGAAAGTTAACATCAGCTAATATAATTTCATGTGCCTAACAGTGATTGGGAACAATGTTATGTTGGTGGTGAATATCGATATGGCCAATAATGTGGTGGTGGCAATGGTGGTGGAGGTGGTGGCTGTTGTTGACTGGAAGATGACTGTTCTGATTGGAAGGTAGATGGCACAGAGTGTTGAGCAGGTCCAACTGGATATAAACGATGAGTGCGATGAGCCTGATGATGAGGATGACAGCTTGTATTTGTTACGCGCGACGACGTTGACGCTTCCAACATAATGCCTGCTTGTGACTGACAAGCCATCGTCAAACCACGAAAATCGAATTTGTAAGCATAACGTTTACCATGAACTTTTGTCATTATGTTCTTGTCATAGTAATATCTGTGGAATAACATTTTCCTTTCTTAAGCACTGTATTAGTCCACAAGAGTTTTGAAGAAGAAAAAATAAAATCTACATATGGAAGTAGAAAGAAAAAAGAAAGGTAAACAGTATATCGCTGTATTAATAGAAAAGTGACAATTTAAAATTAGCAACTTTTTTCAGCAGAATACTATTTAATATTTTTAAAGTTTCTAATTGGAACATTTTAAATAGGGTAGTAAATACGCAATTTCTATAACTTTGCTTTTTTTCATGTTATCTTTTCAATTATAATGTATTCTTTAAAACTAGAAAAATTCAAACATTATACATTAAATACATATAGTGTGAATTTCATTATATATCAAAATGTTGCAACACTTATATAAACAAATAAGCCACAAATGTATCATAGTTTATAAAATATATAGCAGTTTTCAAAATCGATTTCCTTTCATTATTTAAAAAATATTAATTTTTTACAGGTGTCTCTTTTCTATCAACATGCCGATATAATTTACAATATGTATAATTATCATTATATACAATTACCTCAACGCACGTGATAGCTTGTCGTAATTCATGTTAGGCTTGCTCTTACGCTCACCCCAACGGCGTGCGACTTCATCCGGATCAGTGAGCTTGAATTCTCCGTTCGAGCCCTCCCACGCGATACAAGATGAGTTAGACGAATCCGAGAGCAGTTCTAGCAGGAATTGCCAGAGCTGAACCTGTCCGCCTCCGACCGCCCCCGAGCCACTGGCTCCAGCCGTTGATCCAATCAGTGAGCAAGTTCGTTGTAGGAGGCTGAACCTTTCTGCAAGCAGAAAACGGAACACGCATGCACCAAACCATGTTCTCAAGCCGTTCTTGAGATCGAATCGTTTGGACTGTGATAAACAGAGAGATAAAAGCGATGGATCATCGGTTTTCCCCAGTACATTCGTCTTCTTGTTCTGATTGACACGGACTTTTATCCTTCCGTCTTTATCTGCGTATCATCTATGTAAATATTATTTTATCACGTTGGCAAAATTACGATAATTATCGTTTGAATTTTATTACGAGAGTATGTAAAAAGCCAAGTAATTATTCTAATATTCTCTATTAACACATATATAACATTTTATTTTTTATACTGTTGAAGTAGTATATTTGTTACGACTCAAGTTATTTTTTGCAAGTAGGCCATACATCTGTATTTTTGCATCAAGCACAGTTGCCATGTCATATCTAAATGCACGAGCGACGAAGACTATAAGATTAATTTTTTTAGCTGAATGTTTTGCATGATATATATTTTTCTCCTTTTTTCTCCACATTCGAGAAAAAAAAAGAAAGTTGAATCGTGCAAGAAGTTCAGTTAAAAAAGAACAGACGCGCGCCTAATATTATTTTCAATATTTCCATTTCAATTTAATTGAATTGTTTTCTTTTTTTAATTTACCGTTAT